CAAAAACGCATATCCCAGCGGAGTAATAGAGACACTAATAACAACAGCGATAAATAAAATGAAATGCAATAACAACATAACAATAAATAAAAATAACACGAAAACATACACAGGCGTCGCGTATATACCCAACCTAACGGACAACAAAACATTGGGCAAAATTATTAAAAACAATAACATATGCTATGCGCATAAGCCACATAACACGACCAGATATATTTATACCAAAACAAAGGACAAAATTAACAAGGAACAACTACACAATGTAGTCTACGAAATATCGTGCAAAGGAAATGAAGGCGAAAGCTGCAATAAAGTATACATTGGAACAACGAAGAGAGCATTAGGAACCAGAATCAACGAACACAAACTTGACGCCAAAAATAAGAAAAACACCACAGCGTTAGCGCAGCACTTGACCACAAACAATCACACAGCAGATTTCGCCAACGCAAGAATTTTAGACGTGGAGAACAGAACTAAAAAGCGGATGACATTAGAAGGGCTACGCATACAACAAAATATATGTAAAGCAATGAACTACAAAGAAGATGTTGACAATATAAACTGTGCATATGCTACTGCAATAACACACAATGTTTAACTATCGGAAGATAAAGAAGTTGCTAAATGTTAAATGTGGTGTCCGGAAAATGTATTTATGTCGTTTTTTTTAAATTGTGAATAATTAAACTAAATTTTATGTTAATGTAAGTCAAATATGTTGAAATCTAACTATGTTTGTATTGTTCTAAATAATTTTGATTGTTACTAATAATGTTTTTCGTTTTTGCAAATTAATAAACAGACTCCCTGAAGATGACGCGAAAATGCGTCGAAACGCGTAGGAGAAAAAAATAAACTTTGTTTTTATTTTCAACACACCGACCGAAAAGCTCCAAATACAAATACACAAATAAATTTACAACATTGGCCCAAAAGAAAAAATATTTTCGCCTATAACATTTTAAGTATCCTGGCGACATGGGGATTTTACATACGCATGGAATACCATTCTTTCTTAAGTCAACTTAGGCTGTTATTGCTTGTGACCACAGAAATAATGATGATGATAATGATAGTGATAAAAATAATTAGAATTATAATAGTAATTAATAACAACTATTAGTAATAATAATAATAATAATAATAATAATAATAAGAATAACTATAATATTAATAAGAATAACAATAATAATAATACCAACAATGAAAATGATAATAATGTAATGTAAACATAGTAAGATTGTAAATTGTAAAATAATAAATAAAAAGTTAATTTTCAAAATGGCAAAACAATTTGGCTTCGTTCTTCTATCAGCCGGCATAACTTTTCTGAGGCAACAGCCTGCCGCTCCACAGCTTCAGCCATCCTCCTCGTCATTTCGACGTGCGACTTCAGGACATCCAAAAGCATGTTTTGGTTTTCAACTTGCTGTTCCAGTAAGTCATTCCTTTTCCGCTTGCGTCTTCCGGATACAATGGGTTGTGCGGGTTGTGGGGCTGAGGTTGAGTTGGAACCCAATAGCAATGATGTTGTTGGTCGTGCATTTTCTTCAATTTGTGCGCGTGGTATTTCGGTGGACGATGGATGTGTAGTCAAAGGTGGAGAAGGCGAAGGGGAGGACGAAAGTTGAACGGCGTTGTCTGATAGTCCCACACCAAAATCAAGACCACATGGAGCAGCTGATTTGGACAGGTTCACAATTTTATCAACTGTTCGCTCCAATGGTGTCAAAGAACATTCATTGAACGGTCCCCCTCCAGTTTCGCGGAGAAGAGAGTTGTTTTTTGAAATCTTCTTCTTCGTCCGATTTCTTATGTCGGTCCATACCTAATGTGTTAAATATTTTCCAATACAAAACTATGAATATATTTTATTTTGTAAGGAAATTTATTTGCTTACCTTCTTCCATTCTTTAACGCTTCTATGTGGTGGACCAGCAGAGTTTAATTTAAGCGAGATTTGCTCCCATTTTTCTTCAAATTGCGCACGACTTCCTCCAAAAACGGGGGCGCCTCTTGCAATCTGGACATTTCTTTCCATTTCTCGGGAAAGAATGTCAAATTGCTCATTTGTCGTTTTTTTATACCTGAAAAATGAAAATATTTCTTTAATTATTTTGTTGTCAATAGTTATTTGCTAAAATTGTTATATACTTACATTTTTCCTTGTTCCAAACTCATATTGAAAAGAATTAAAACGATTGGCCCGTAGTCATAGTTAAAATAAAGTCGACTTTAAAGTTAGTTGCAGCTTTTTGACATAATTTTCAATGGGATATCTGTCAAAAAAGCTGCAACTAACTTTAAAGTCGACTTTATTTTGACTATGACTACGGGCCATTGAAAATAACCAAACACAAGCAATCAAAATGAAATAAAACCAGCAAACGCGACCCCAGAAGCAAGTGAATATTTTGACAGCTAAAATGAGCGTTCGCGTCAGTTTGCGTCGTTATATTATACCAAAAACGTAACATATTCACTCACATTCACTGACAGTCACTAAAGTGAGTGAACGCTCTTATATAATACGAATTTTGTTTCACATGAGTAAAAGTGACTCGTTGCCCCGCGTTGCGTTTTCTATAATAAGGCTGTAAATGTAAGTTCATCAAGAAACCAATAAAACAATGGAATAAAAAAAAAACAGCAAAAAAAAAACACAACTAGCGCTCGCTCTCTATGTACTTCAATCATATCTGTCGCTGGAATCTATGTTTCATATAATTCATTCTCATATACTCTTATAAGCTAACACTCACCAATCTCTCCCGCGATGTATGCGCTTGCATCCAGGAAGATCAGTAGCTGTAAAGAAAAAGAAAATGCAAAAAAGGCTTCCAGGGCAGACTCATGGATGAGGTACAAAGTAAATTCATACAGTTGCGTTCATTTGGATTTGGCACTTATAGAGGACGGAGCTCTTCACCTCGGCCGTGGCATAAAAGAAGTGAAGTTACATAAAAAAATGTGATGATTAATTCAAACAATAAAATTTAATTAAAATAAACGAATTAAAAATTGTGGTGAGAAACAAAGCCCAAATTAAAACGTATCCTATTTACCTAGTTCTACTAGTGTATACTATATACTAAAAGCGAAAATTCAATCAAAACTCATGGGCAAAACTTAAATCTAACCCATCTTTAAAGGACTTAAACCGGCTTAAAAAATAAATAAATACATATGTATTGTATAAGTACGTAACACGGCCTCACGAGTTCCCTATGCACATATTCTCTATACACACAACTATTCGCACATAGCACTGGAATTGCACGATGGAACTTGGGAATAGAGGCCCCTATTATGAGTTGCATTCGATTTTCGATCTTCGCTGGCTATCGAAGACCGAAAGTGAAATTCGTATTATAGGGCATTCGCACGAGCGATTTTACAGGCAACAAAAGTTGAATACGAAGTTGAATGAGAAGTTGAAAGTGAAAAAGTTGGCATCCCTATTCAGACGAGGCGATTTTCGATTCAACACGAATCGTTATTTACATTATTGAAAATGAATTTAAATCGCAAAATTTTATCAATTGGCGTAAATTTGGTAAGCCAAGCGTTGGTAGAAGTGCTTTTAGCGAAGCTGAAAGATAAAATAAGAGTAAAAAAGTA